AAATAGCTCTTGGATATTTAAACAAGATAATTAGTTATTCTTCACTAGCGCAGTACAAGCAGTACAGTATAGTTTTTGACAGCGAATTATGGGTTGCGATTAATTTCTGACAAATACATCTCATTGGTTGCCTTAGCTCTATTATACTTTTTAACTACGCAATAATGTCCTTTCGCTTGTTGACAACTGTACATACCCAAGGTATGGAGGATTATAAAACTCAATTAGCAATCGTAAGGAACGGAGCCATATAATAATTAGCGGGCTGACCGATACTCGAGAAAGCTTTGAAATCCTTAAAAGTAGCAATTACACCTTATTGCCTTGGCATTTAATTTTAGATTACGCTTAAATGGAATATTTTCAACTCATGCTTAAGTCAAGTTAAACTTTTACATAAGAGACTAAGATGCGTAAGCAACTATGATCGAAGCTAACTGTTTTTTTTTTTTTTTTTTTTTTTTTCTTTTTTTTTTTTTATTTCTATAACTCTTACAATGCGCTTTTTATTTCGACACTGTTATTTGTATTGTTAAATTTAATGTTTATTTATAAAGATGATCGATTGAAAGTTTATTATCTTCATAATTACGTAATAAGGTGAGAGGAAAAGGTGAAAGTACATTAATTATATGTTGCTAATTTATTTAGATTATGGTTGAATAATTAATTGATATAGTAAGTATATATTGTTATAATAAAATATGATAATGTAATTAAAAGTGTCAAATTTATCAAAAATTTACATCTTGATTATTCGATAAGAATTAATCATTTTGCCGAATCCTATTAATTTATTAATCTATTAATTGATTCTCGCACTACTAGACGATAAATACTAGCATTTTGTTATCAATTTAATAAAAACGACATGATAAATAATGACAAAGTGACATTATTCATATAAATATAAAACGAGAGATTTATATGCTTTTATTCTTTTTTCATTTTTTTTTAAGTTCTCGTAAGGTTGACAGATTTTCGTCATAATCTCATAATGATCATGATGTCAGAGAGAATTTTTTTATCGGGCATAATTCTAGACGTTCATGAGAAGAATTTTCATAGACGATTGGAGCTTTAGGGTAGCCCTAAAAAGAAAATAATATAATACTGTAATTGAGCAATATTTATGAATTTGTTGAACGATCGAGTAACTTTATACGTATTTCGTCTGTCAAAAACACTTAGCCGTACTTACGTACATGTGCTCAAGCCTTAAAAGATAATAAACTATCAGAATGATAAAATTTTATAAGAAAAAAAACGAGTAAAATTTTTTAAATACAAATGATATTGAAAGAAAGGATGCGTTTTGAGGAAGAAGAAAGGAGAAAATTGCGCAACAAAGTATACGCGTCGTCGTCACCTTGCAATTAATTACTTTGACTTTATTGAGCTAAAGACATTGGTTGAATTATAAGCTGTCAGGCCGTGTTGAGCCACGAGGTGCTAGTTTGTTGTTTTTAAGCGTACGCTCGTCCGATAAAACGTTCGTCCCGATTTTTCCCCATAACTGTGGGATTAAGATATTAAATCAAGAGCGAGCACAACGGTAATGAGATTAAAGACGCCCGTTGTGTCGGTCGCGGGCGCGCGCACGCTAAATAAAGCCAAAGACAGAGATATAGATAGGCACAGAGAGACAGAGAGAGAGAGAGAGAGAGAGAGAGAGAGAGAGTGTGTGTGTGTGTGTGCGTGTGTGCGTGTGTGCGTGTGCGCGCGCGCGCGAGAGCGGGAGGGAGAGTGAGAGGAGTTGGGAGGGCGAGTGGAATAAATCGAACCGTGTCACATTCGTCATAAAATCGAGCGGCTGGAAAGTCGTCGACGGTGGATGGAAACTTGGTAGGGAGTGCGCGCGGTCAATCGCGTCGTCGTCGGTCGAGGCACGCGCGATTCGCCGCCCTCCGACGGATCTCCGTAGCGCGTTTGACTCGCGTATTGGAGGTGTTTGGCCGTGGTGAGCCCGTAGGCAGCCCCGTCGATTAAGGTGCGCGGGAGGGAGAGAGACGTAGCCAAGAGGTGAGAGGGCGCGCGACCACGAACGGCGGGGCCGCCTGGAACTAGGCAGGCAGGTATCGGCCGGGCCGCACGTCGCCCCGTGTTAACGCTATCCCAGCCACTGGATTCTGTTGCCGCTGTCGCTGCCCCCCTCCCGGCGCCGCTGCACTTGGGCGCGTCGCGGCGAGTAAATTGGTAGAGTCGTGAATCGGTGCGCGGCAGTCGTGAGTCCCACGCATCACGGGAGTACGTCAAGGCCGCGGCGCTCGAGCATTCGCGGGGCGAGGCAGGTGTCCCTGGACTTCAAGCCAACCTTCAAACAAACGAGGAGCGGCGACGGCGGCATGAAGCAAATGGGCGTCATCATCCTTGTCCTCTGCGTCGTGCACCTAGGTCGGCCACTTTTACTTACCTTGCGCGCGCTTACCGTTATGATGCTGCCTGCCCCAAACGCCTAACGCCAACGTTTTATACGTTACCTTAGCCCACTTTGGGCCTCCGTGCTTCTTCGTCCTTTCGCGCTAATGACTTGATCGACTCTCTCATTGTCAGACACACTTTTCTTATAAATATATTTTTATCGTCTTCACTTTTTTTATTCCCCTCGCGTTCCCTCGCATTATCAGTCCGCTTTAACCTTCAATTTATTTATCGTATTAGTCGTGTCATTTGAAAATACTAGGGCCCTCGTTTCTTACAAATGCGATCTGACATTCCTGATTTATTTCTTCGATATTTCCAACGTCCTAGCCTCGCTACATCACCAAGTCGCTAATTTCGTTTATATCTGTATTTTAGTGCATTCCCAGAGGACACCCACGATATCTTACATATCTCAAGAGCAAATTAAAAACATTGGAGGTACCGTTGAATTTGTCTGTTCGGTTCAGTATAGTCAAGATTATCCAGTATTGTGGATAAAAGTTAATAAAAATAGAGAGGACCAACTACCTATTTCGACCAATACGGCCCTCATTATTCGAGACAGTAGATTTGCTCTAAGATCAGATCCTTCGTCGTCTACTTATACACTACAGGTAAGCCATTGCTCTCTTGCTTTCTCCCCCCCCCTCCCTCCCTCCCCCTTATATCCCACTGACTCATTTGTTCTATTTTTACTATTTTATTCAATATAATCTATTCAATATAAATCATTATATGTCATTAATTTGAATATAAGTCCTATTCAATATAAATCCTATCTTATTTACCAAAATTATTGTACTCTCTTAGATCAAAGATATCCAAGAGACGGATGCAGGCTTTTATGCGTGCCAAATCTTGATTTCCACTCATACTAAAATATCGGCCGAAGTGGAACTTCAAGTTCGTAGACCGCCGATTATTAGCGATAATTCTACTCGATCGCTCGTTGTCAGCGAAGGACAACCCATACAACTAGAGTGTTACGCTGGTGGCTTTCCTGTTCCTAGAATTTCATGGCGTCGAGAAAACAATGCTATCTTACCAACTGGCGGATCAATTTATCGGTTAGTTTTAGCTTTCTGCATGACTATGTGATTTTTTTAAATTTGTAAAACACCAAGAGCTACCGGTATATACGATATATCATTGAATTTCTTAAAATTAAAAGACACTCTATAACCATTGCAGAGGTAATACATTGAAGATTGCATCGGTACACAAAGAAGACAGAGGAACGTACTATTGCGTCGCTGAAAATGGAGTTGGCCGTGGAGCACGACGAAACATCAATTTGGAAATTGAATTTGCACCGGTCATTACCGCTCCACGTCCACGCCTCGGTCAAGCTCTGCAGTACGATATGGACCTGGAATGTCACGTAGAAGCTTATCCACCACCTGCTATCACTTGGCACAAAGACGAGGTTCAATTGTCTAACAATCAGCACTACAGCATATCTCACTTTGCTACAGCCGACGAGTACACCGACACCACCCTTCGAGTAATCACCATTGAAAAGAAACAATACGGAGAGTACGTTTGCAAAGCTGCTAACAAGTTTGGTACAGCTGAAACTAGAGTCGAACTATTTGGTAAGTTAATTTATTATATATCTTAGCACTCTTGTGTACATGAAACAAATGTTCGTTTCCTTATATGCATGTAACTGTGTAAAGACACGTGGATAAATACTGAGATAATCGATGTATTTGTGTCGAATGTAAGTAGGTAGCATGCCATAGTTTGTTTCTCCTCCTTTTCTGTGCAGAAACTATTATACCAGTATGCCCGCCCGCTTGTGGTCAAGCATACTATGCAGCTGGAGTAGTTCCAATATCTTCTGGGCCATTGGTGGCCACTGCCTTATTAATAGCCTCGATTCTAAGGTAAGCCTATGCAAGAATGATTGTTTATCCGAATGTACTGGTATTGTTATTTTTCTCCGAGTGCCTGTAGCAACGTCGCTTCATATCGACGTCACATTGAATTCATCTCTATCTTTGTTACAGAAGTCTCAATACCAAACATTAATTATCCAGGATTATTGTGGGGAGCAGGCCAACGTCATTTGGTTTCGGAATGGCTGTTAATCGTCTCTATAAGCGCCACCATTCTTAGGAAGTGTAATATTTAAATTTCCAGTTGCTTTGATGAGACTTGAGAGAATAACAAAGCATAAAATACGGTTTGATCAAAGTAGAATCAAACTTACTATAAATTCCCTCCAAGGTTGAATCTTGTATGATTCACCAATTTCATATTATAGTATCTCAAGGAACAAGATTTTAGAGCAAATAGGATCGCATAGCTGACAATTTTATAATAATTGCGTTAAGCGCTAAGTCGATATAACGAGCAATAATTAGTAATTTAAGCAACGAATCTGATGGACCACAATTTTTATACTCTAACCATCAACGTTTCTATTTACATATCTTATTGCAATTGTATTACGAGTAGAATCTCGATAAGCTCAGCGTCACTTTTTAAGACGATGTTTTTACGATATTAGATTAGGCTTTTATACCCGTTTGACGGTTAAATAAATTTTTTACCCGACTTTAGTATTAACAAAACTCATGTTATTTTTCATTACATTTTGAATGTACAATGTGTGCATTATATATATATATATATATATATATATATATATATAGAACGCGCGCACACATGAATTTTTATAATTTAAAAACAGACTTGCTTATACTGCCCTTTTTCAATGCTTGTAATACTTCTGAGTACTCGGAAAGCTTGAAAATCTTTATTCCCAAGTTATTATATTGCAGATAAGTATCTGACATAGATTGTAGTAATACATTTTAGGAATGTGAACGGATTTATATGGATGCTAAAAAAAAAAAAAAAAATTTAATTCTTATACATCTAAAAATATTTAAATACGATAAGCTTACATTAGTATTTTAGATTATTGTTGAAAAGTTTTGCTAATGTAATGGAGCGCCAAAAATATATAACTCGATCTTATCTTACCCGATAAGGTTCAATCGTAACTTTTGCTTTTTGATCAGTAATGCCAAATATGCAAAAGCGATCGACATTAGCGAGCAAAGGTATCGCCAATTTCATATCTGATCCCGAGCCTCTGCCATCCACTATCACGTCAAATTCATTTTCTTTAATTTTCCTCTCAACTGCTCACTTGATAATCCAAGCCTTGAAAAATTAATACGTTCACTCTCATAATGTCAATAGGTTTTTAAGATTTTTTTTTTTTTTTTAATTTTTATTATAAATAAAAAATTGATGAAAAATGCTTTATGACAAAATCTTATATTTTCAAACCTTAACTACTATTTTCAATATTATTATAATAATGTCATTGAAAAGTATCGAAATTCCCGTTTTAAATTGTTAAATTTTATCTGATACATTTTAACTATAGACGGATAAAACATATTTTAATATAATGAAAGATTGTGAGAATTAAAAGCAAATGTTATCCGATAGTTTCAAATGAACGTCTTGCAGACATTTTTATTTACAATTTGTATTTATAAAGAAAAGCTCAAAGAAAGACAAAATACTATTCGATAAAAATTATATATCAAATTGCACACGTGCAGTTACGAAACAATAAAAAAAAAAACGATATAAAAATCAAGATAATAATATTTTTCCTAATGATAATGGAAAAGGCGCAAAACAATTTATCAAAATATAAAACGGCAACAAAAAAAAAAAAAAAAAAACGTATAAATACAAAGCAACGTCATTTCCATTAAAACTAAACCTTTTTATTTAATAGCAGTGAATTAATTAGTACTAAAAGTAAAAAAATTAATTATTTAATTCTTTCTTTTCATTTCTTTTTTTTTTTTTTTTTTTTTTTTTTTTTTGTTTCAAAGATTTTTCAGGTAATTTTTATGCCAATATGTTTATTCAATCTAAGCCTCGTAAGACTTAATTATTTATTACAAACAAACGCATTAAATTCCGGATAATATAAAATATGGAAATACACGGGCTTTATATTTATAATTTTAACACAGTATTAAGAATCACTACTGAATATGATTGTAGATGATGATGAAATATCATATTGGCAAGCATAAATATTGAAAAGGATACTAAAGCTTCAACGTTACCAAGCTTCCGGGACATGTTCCTCCCTTCTTCCTGCGTCCCGGAAATAGTGACGGTCCTATGAAAGTACAGTGGACGAGTTGAGAGGAGGCCGATGATGTCCACTACAATTACCAGGACTCGCTGGTCAATATGGATGAGACCGATCCTGTCCCAACCATGAGCCAAACAAGACAGAGGCTTGCTCAAGGCCATTGCTACGTCGTTGGTTGCACGGCACACCTAATTGTCTCATTTCAAGTTTCATTAAGCCAGTAGACCAAGTGCCAGTCTACCTAGTCGGGTCATTGCTTTTTCATTATCAAGTACATTGGCATGAATTACAAACGTCCGAAGAAGCGTAGGTGAAGCGAGAAAATAAGATATTTAGACTGGCTTACTTGGCCCTCGGGCACGTGAACGTCAGTCACTCGACCATCCGTCGTTTCTAAAAATCCCGATGGTGTTGTCGATACCGCCGTAGGTACAAAAATAATAGCAGCCCCACAGACTGCAGCCATCGCTCGGGTCGATGCTCACCTACGCAAAAGCTACTTCGCGTCCAAAGCCCCGAATGCGTGAATGCTTGGGCTTCCTTACACGGTAACGAGAACCCTCCCTCGGATTCAAATAAAATTCCATGGTAATTACGAGCGACGTGTAGTCAGCTAAATTATTCGGCCGTGATTAAGCTTGTATCGCGTAAACGCTTAAAAATAATTACTTTTCATCGGTTAATTACAAAGTCCACGCCCACCCACGTCCCAAAAAAATTTAAGTAAGCCTATTTATAGAATTGTTAAAGACAAAGAATTTAGGTAAATTAATTGGATTTATCAAGATCAATAAATAAAGGTTGCGTACAACTACTAACAATCATAATCTCTTATTGGCTTGAATACTTTTAAATTATATTTAACTGATTTCTTGTAACTTTTTTCAACGTGAAAAATATTTCTTACTAGCGATTTTTTTATAACCTAACAAAAATAAAAATAATACTATAGCGGATAAGAAGCATGTCGTCAATGTAATTACTGCTTGATTTAATAAATTAAACTTTGCTTTTGTATTTTGCGTCATTTTTGACGAACAGAAGGAATCTTTTGTACATAAGAATTGTTATATTGTGTATATAAATATGAGGCCAGGGATACATATTACATTTTTAGAATTATGACTTCGTAGATGAGAGGGATTTTCCGGTTCCTAGTCATGGATTTTAACGAAGACCTTCAAGATCTATTTAGGTACGTAAAGTCCAAACACTCATTAAATTATTTAATCTCGTAAATCGTAGAAAAATGTTGTACATCATTATTTTAAGTGTAACAGAATATAAAGTTATCACATAAGCAGTTGAAGCTAATTGAAAAGAATATTCTTGAATAAAATAGATAGATAATTTTATGTACTTTAGCAGAATACACTAAAGGTACTAAAACCTATTCAACATCTTCGTGTTTACTTTTCATTATTACTTTGTTAAAGAAATTTAAACATGATATAACGTGAAAGCTATTATGTTTAAAACATAGATTACTTTTAACTTATTATAAGCATAAAGTATATATGGCTTAGGGAACTTGAAATTAAACAAGTTTTAATGAGATGGCGTAGTGACAAATTTTTGAAACGTATTAAAAAGCAAAATTGTACGGATTTACCATGTAGTGAAAGGTTTTTTTTATTTTCGAATGAGATTAATGAATAGGAAATTATCGGACGATAAATGAGAACAATAGAGATATAAGAGCAATAATTTTTGAAAATATATTTTTGAAAAGTTTATTTAATCATCGAAAATAATTATGATTAAATAATAATTTAAGATAAGCTGTAAATAACTGCAGTGCCAATTATAAACCCAAAGAAATAAAAATTCAATAAAAAAAATTAGAGTGTCATATAAATAAACAATTAAATATTGATATCAGGATATAATTCTTCATTTAAAAGTAAAAATTATTTTAAACAGTCTAAAAATATTTATCTATTTAAATCTAACAGTTACTTAATAAAAATTATTTAAAATAAGTAGAAAGTACTGTTTAAAAGTATCATAAAGTAATTTATTACATCGAAATCGAAAAACATTATGTATATATATATATACATATTGCTTACTAGTAACAAAATATTAAATGAAGTTTAATAATATTTTTGTTAAGTGAATAAGACAATAAATTAACTCGAAATAAATATATATATATCGTTTTCTTTTTTTATGCTTCGGTAACAATATTTAAAATTTATAATAAAACATAATATAATGGATATGGAAAAATAATTATTTAAAATGATTCAATGGGCCCCACAAAGAAATATAACCAAAAGATTTATACGATATTCATAGTGCTATACGAATAATAAAAAATGCTACTAAAAGCGTTTTAAATAATAACTAATGCATAATAATAAATTAAGCCGAAAGATCTAAATTAAAAACATCAAAAGTGTAACAAATATATTCATGATATTTCACAATTTTTTAATTTTAATTCACTACAAACTAATAAGTACGTAATTCCATTATTATGAATGGACAATTAACATATACATTTTTAAGAAATATGGTGAACTTTAAATTCAATTAAACGCCAATATCAATTGTAATTGCTTACATTTATAAAATGCTAATAATACACAAGCAAACCCTTGTTAAGTTTAAAAGCATAAAAGTCCTTATCTATCAAAATTATTTTCTAACTAGAGAAACATCTTAGCACCAATCTAACCACGAAGCGATATAAATTCATTATTTCACGTTTTAATAACTTTCAATTATTCAAGCAATTATTCGCCAAAAGAACATCAGACCAGTAGTTCCTCAGTACCTGAACTCATACTAATACTCACCTAAACTCGAAAGAATATAATTATGTAATGCAGAAAGGATATCAATTATAGTGAAGTAACTTGAGTTCCTTATCGCTCGCGAGATCCGGGAATGGGAATCAACCGCTGCTTTACACCTAAATATCTCATGGAGGCTTGTCAAAACTTGGAAATTCCATTAGCTGCTCCAGCTCTTTTAAAATGAACTTGCATCGAGTGTCAAAATCGCAGTACAGTCGGATTACGTTTTACGTCCGTTTACGCTCTGATAATGTGTTAACGCCAAGTGCAATGTAGGGGTCGCGAAACTCGCCCTTTTTTGATTTTCCAATTATTTATTGGGTTCTTGCTTTGTTATCGCTGTTTACTCATATATATATATATATATATATATATATAGAAGAATAAAAAACAAATTATATAAAATGAAACGTTTCTCAGCTCTTAAATAATGGATAATTGCCAACTGTTACTTAGGTAAACGCTAAAGCAATTATCAACCGATCTTTAACGAATGAAATATTTCGGTCGGATGCTATTTCCGGCCTTTCCAAGAATTCAATACACTGTGCTACGCTCAAAGGGAAAGGTGGTAATAGTTGTGTTGTTCGATTTTATTTGGATCTTGAATAATACAACAATACAACCTGTTTTCGAATTATTTACGCAAGTTCCTCTAAACATACCTACGCGTATACAATATTTCATAAGGAAGACGTTGGATAATTTTCTTTACCGACGAAATGCAAGCCAAATACACAATATATCTGGATTAATGTGTATGGAATTTTTATTAGATCGATCGAATTGCCTTTAACTGAACACGTTTTTACAAAGACGCAACTCATTTAATTAAGATTTTTCGGATAATGTTCACCTCTTTGTCCTATGTTTGACACATAGAATATAAGAATTTCACACAGAACGTCCGAGATAATAAAATAATAATCCAAGTAACTCGAGGAAAAAGAAATGCCAACGATATATTTAAAAAAAAAAAAAAATACAAATAAAAAAAAAGTGTAAGGAAACACGAAAGTCACGTTCCCTAAAAAACATTCCTCTCAAATGAATCATTATCACGAAAATAGTCCTGCGAGCTGTTATTTCGCCTCGGTCATTACTAAATTGATTCCTTTATCGTGTCGCTATAGAAACGGCTATACCGAGGCCTTAAAGACGCCCGAAATTTCCTAGCGCAACCAGTAAAACGACTCACGAGCACCGGCTGTTACACCACTACCTACACAAGCATTTACGAGGTCTTAAGCATCTGCTGCATACCGACACGGAGAGATCAAAGTAGACTCGTCGTACCTGCATCTAACTACTGGCCTTTTCCTCGGCACGTTTTCCGGTTGTTTTGCTAGTGATTTATGCGAGAAAGAGATTTTTTTCCCCCGTTTCCCGATCGGTTATTATAGGCGCTCGTGGCCGTCGATGAGAAAAAATCGTTCAGGAATTAAGCCAAGCGATGTCCCAATGAAAGATTGACATTATCTAGCACTTTTATTAAAGCCACGGCATCGAAGTGAAATGTTCATTTGAAACATTGGCATTTCTTGCATGGATGTTCAAATGTCCAGGTTGTACAAGCATAATGGGAGAATATTGATAAATCATGGATGGAAACTTGTTATAGAAAAATTCAACGGTTTGGCGAAAATTGCATTAATATATGAAAAATGGAATATTGAATATAAAATGGAGGTAAATGTTTCCATTGTGATTATTTTAGGTATTCTATAACAAAAAGTATAATTTGAATGTTTATTTCCTTGGAGTAAAAAATTAATAACAATAACAAAAAATAAAAAAAACTCAATTTATTTATATCATGTTTATTGCATTTTCAATAGCTATTTAAATATAAGCCTGTTTTTTTTTTGTCTTTCTTTAGTCCAATTGTATATAAATGTTATGTACATTGCCAAATTTTTATAAATGCATTATTGTAGAAATGCATAATTTAAATATTAAAACCACTGTTGAACAATATTTACTTTATGTAAGTTTTGCAATCCTTAGTTTCCATATTTACATATATAATATCATTAGCGTTATTCGAGCGAACGACAAATTTTCCTACATTATTTGTAAAATTATTTATTTAGACGAGACATTAAAATACAAAAGCCAATATTCTTACAAAATAAAAAATATCGAGTACGAAATTGGCTGATGTATTTATAAAGCTGTATTTCACATCTCAGTACCCCTTCTTTGAATTATCTAAAAAAAAAAAAAAAAAAAAAAAAAAAAAAAAAAAAAAAAAAATATGATTATGAAATTGGAACAAAATGTTCTAATCCATGTACCGAAGAACATTTTCACGAAGCTAGTAACAAAGATGTGTTTATATACATACACATCAATTT